CCGAATCATAAACCGTCGTATTCATCCCCTTTACGAGTTATATGGAAAGAGGCACATAATAACAGTAAAGGAATTTATCCAAGGATTTTGAGTTGAGATGCCCTCTTAGGCATAAGCCAACCCGCAACTTGAAAGAGAAATAGCAGTCAAATGAAGAAGTAAAAAGTCGAGTTTTACCCTTCACGGAATATTATTTCCAGAACGTGAATTTGATCCTCCCTTAGACTTCTCAATTGAAGTGCTCTTCATTTTTGTTTGTTGCTTGATGCACTACATCACGGTCAGAATGTGAAATGACTGTCTCATCTGACTCGTTAAGCAACAGCTTTAATTGTTCCTGGACAAGTTGTTCATTGTTCCACTGGTAATAACTGCAAAGACTGATTCCAGTAACGAATGCAACTGCTACACCAACGGCTGCTCTATGCATATAAAGTAACTGGCTTCTTGATTTTTGGACTAGTGTGGTTTATATATAGTTTTAAGAAGAACACAAGCAAGAAAAATAAATAAAAGGGTGAGTTATGGTATTTGTTATTTTCGGTCAGTTCCATCGCATTTCGGACACAAAATTTGGAACGAACACATTGAACAATTGAAACATATTTTCTCATGGAATATTGTATTTACTATTATCAAAACTCGCCTCGAAATTATTTCGCTTGTCTAAATAAGCAAAATACCTACAAGATTTTTTTTTATTAATGGTATCACTTGCTGTTAGCTACCTCCAAGTCTTTCAATAACTTGGTATGGAATTCATCACTAGATTGTGAAGGTTTAAAAGTGGGTTCCCTTTGAAGAAAATATGTTTGAACTTCTGCACCCGAAGATGCTGCGTTGTGTGAAAAGTTGCTCAGTGCATCCGTGGCCTCTTGCCGCTCAAAGACAGTTGACAAAGGTACTTCAACCTCTGGACCGAGGCTGCCGCTCTGTTGAGATTCCTTGATTCGGGAAGCAGCAATTGTGCTGTCGTCGAGAATTTTAGAGCCCAGGGCGTGTACACCGGACGCGGGGCCTGGGGCATTAGGGGCCAAGTTCGGTTCAGCTGAATCTCGGTGCTGTTGCTCCTGTACACGTTTGCTGACCCACTTCCTGCACGTTGCTGAAGACATATTCAGGTGGCTTGTAGCAAATAATAAAAATAATAATAATATCACTAATTCAAGTAAAAAACTCAACAGATATTGAAAGTGGCGAAGTATAGAACCTTCAACAATGATAAAGTGACATATAATTAAATGGAACAAAAATTCGCGATGATCATCTATTCTAGTATCGCACGTCTTGAAGCAGTACCATTTTAGCGTAATATATTTAATACCAACAGTAGACAACGTGCTATCACTTTGTTTGCGAAAACGATTGTGAAAGGAATAATAAAGAAAAGGTAGAAAAGATATCCACCTTCAGTCTCGCCCTTTTCACACTTTTGACAACCAGCCACGCCATATTTCTACGTCTTGCTTTAAATCTCTACATTCCAACACGTCAAGACGGTTTTGCTGTGTGTCCTGCTCCACATCTATCAATGGTTTTGCCAATACTTCTTTGCTCACAAGAAAATCAATTTCACTGGCCCCTAGTAGCGTACTTTGATGTTGAATAGATTGCAAAAAGTGGTTACTACTACGATTATTACTGTCGAATTCGGACACAGTATCTGCTTCTGTTGCACTACTACCATGTGATTGGCTGCGACGCTGACGAAAGTCATGCTCTACAGGCGATTGCGTTTCACACTCATGTCGCACTGAATGCGAAGAAGTTCCAGAAGTGGTAGTAGAGTTTCTAGTCTGAATCAAACGTGCCATGTAGAGCTCAATGCGCCACCGCAAAAAATTATATATACCACGACGCCTCGGAATGACAAAAGGAGTTGTGACCGATGCAGATGATGAAGGAAGAATGGAAGAGACTGAAGGAGTGGTGACAAAGCCACTTTGTTGTGGATCAATAAAATAATCGCTTTGGGTATCGTATAAATAGGCGCTGACAAGTAGCGAAGGACCCCACGGATAGCGTGTGTGAAAACATGCTGTGAGGGAATTTGTCTCCTGAGAAGAGCAATTGGCATTTAGTAATGCAGAGTGGGAAGGAGTAGTCTGGTGGTTTGGAGATGTTGAGCGAGTAGCAAAAACGGAATCACATGGTGCAGAGCACAACCTCCAATGCAACCATAGACGATACACCTTTTCTCTCCAAACATCAAAACCACTCTCACAAGCGCTACCACACTTCTCAGACTTATAATCATCACCAGAAGCTTCTGCTGATACTTCATTAAAACTACTTGTCAAAGGTTCAAAAGGAACTGCAGCCTCCAGCGATAGCAATCGCCGTAGTGCAGCAGCGGTTCTCTTGGATTGGTAAAAGGCCCGCCACTCCAAGGCAACAATCTCATTTTCCACACGCCGTCGTTGTAAACAAAGTTCTGAATCAGAGGGCGTACTAGGAAGATCAGTCTCCTGCATGGGCTGCTGTGCTCCCATCGCAGGGTTTAAGTCATCGGTTGATATAACAACAACGTGTTCTAGATGGTCATGTGTTTGCTCCTCCTTTACCTTGGTTGTATCTCTATTGGAAAAGGGAATTAATCCAGCGGACTTAACATCACTTAGCTGCTCTGCATGTAGTGAAAATATAGAATCTTCATAGGTCGTACATCTTGGTGAAGAAGAAAACGTTGTTCGGTTATCTTTTCTCGATTTCTTTGGTTGTGATGGGCAGGACAGATCCAAAGAATTATTAGGAAATTCTCCAGCCATCGTGATCGCAACGGTATTGCTACAATTCTCTACACCGATAACTCGATGCAGAATAGGCTTCATGTCCTGCAGAAACTCCCCTAAGTTATCGTTCCAAGCATCATCAGTTACACACCCTAAGCTGCAATTATTTCGTAGATCAAAAACAGTTGGCACCGAAGCCAAAGGGACTGTGGACGGGGTTGTTGTAGTCTGTCGGCTCAAACCATTTAGGGAAACTGTCCCACTTCTGTCTGAACTTGACGATGGGGCGCCATTGTTGAAACTAACCTTCGAGCCATTTTCATGTTCATTGATAACATTTTTGTGGTAGATATGCTGCTGAACATAGGCTGGAACACTCGCAAGGAGTGCTGTTAATGAAGCATCCGGCCAGCTAAAGTAATAGGATGGTTCATCTTCAAGAACCTCAAGGCCTAACCGTTGGCTGGATTGGATGTGCTGTTCCTCTGCAGGATCTAGGGGACGGAAACGCTTACGTGAAAGGGACATCATACATGTACTATGGGGAAAAAAAGCTTTAGGCAATACACCTTTATGAAACTTTTATAATTTCTTGTCTGATCCTGAACATATAAATTTCCGTATTACACCTAAAGCTCTAGATATGCAGTTAATTCGTTGCCTTTTGGCTTCCCGTTGCAGTCTATTCGAATCCGTAGACAAAGGAAAACTCTTAACCACAGCTTAACATATAATAAATATAGAGAATCCTCAAAAAACGTAAGAAGTAATGATACAAAATGCTCTGTAATATTTATTTTAATGTTCTTCAACATAACCCCAAGAAGAAATAGAAAGATCTAGTTTCGTATCACACGCACTCCTTTATTCAATAAAAATAATAACCCCCAACGAAGTCGCTCATCTTATCGCTGTATCAGAGTTTCATACCTTTTATTAAGTAAAACTAAGTGCAGACAATCTCTCTGTTTCATGCGTTAGGTTGTGCAGTGATGGATATGGTAAGCAAGACAGGGATAATGTTCTGTCCGGAAGGCCTACAGCCATATTTGCCCTTGTAAACACCTTTCAATACGTTATATTGTAATTCAACGTTATGCAGATCTACGGCCACCATCATACACATAGCTTTAACAGGTGATGTACCACGAGCAATAATAACAATAGTAGTAGCAATAAGTGGGTATATTGTGATCAATAGCAAAATAATGAATTTTGCAAATAGTGACATTCACATAGTCTAACGCATTCCCGCAGGCATTAGGGTGGCTCCTCTTGAATTCGATTGCGTCAGAGTCCCTACTAAATACCTTCCGCTGTGATCGCAGGTACATCCAGAACGGTAGGTTCTTCCATAAGTCCCGCCCGTTTCATTGTCATTAAAGACGCGTACGGAATTGCGGAACGATCTGGTAAAACCATTTCTGGATCTTCTGTAATTGTGAGGAACAGATGAGATGACTTTTTGGTCTTCCAGGCGTAGTACCCTCTACTGCGAATATCCATTTGCTTATCAGTTGGGCCTGGTACGCATGTTATACTTGCAATACGAAGTCGATCCTTAACCAATCCCTTGGACTCAGCCCCTTGTTGGGCAAGCTCCAAGGCGCGAAACACGGCCATATGTCCCTTTCGTATTGAAAGCTTACATTGAGCCATCGCTTCTCGCACGGAAAGCCCACGAAGAACACTAATGTCAATATCCAGCTTTTTCCACGCGGATGGAACTGCGCGCATAGCAAAACGATACTGCGGAAGTTGATCCTGTGCATTCTGAAGCTCTGTTTCAAGCCTTTCGCAGTACAACTTCCAATTTACTTGATACATGACGCCTCCTTCCTCTACAAGAGCCCAGCGATCCTCAGTGACACGTTGACTATTTACTACACGTTCCCAGCGATTCATATCTGGGATATTGGCCTTAGTAAACCACAAAGACTTCCATAAGCTTCGATCTAGAAGTATACGGGGGGTGCTACCCATGTGCTTTGTAATAGCGAAAGGTTTGGAGGAAAAGTATTGCTTTTGGTACCACACTCGACGAGCGTAATGTTTCTGTGTGTGAAGATACTGACTGCCCACATTAGTACGCTTTGGTGTTGGAAAAAGACCAATGTTGTAGCGTGTCGCTGGACGAGGCATAGCCACCTAGACAAGAGTCCTCAATAAAAAATATATAAAGTGAACCGAATACTATCTGCTAGCTACGATGATCGAAATGTTTCTCGTACAGAATGAAACAGGCAGAAAAGTAGTAAGCAAAGGAAACGTAAGCATATGGAGTAATTAGAGATAAAACCAAGACTAAAGCGATGCAAATTGGACAGACAAATTATTCAAATAACGGGAATAGTCGATTCGCAAACTATATACGGTAAGAAAGCATATAACAACACAAGTAGTTTTTACTTATAAGGAAATAAGGTTTCCTCTACTTATCTTTCCGATGTTGAAGATCCCGAATTGAAAAAAGCTCTAATATCACATGTGTTCAGAAGCCTAGCAGAACAACTACCTTAAATGACAATACTCACTTGAAAAAACGAAGAAAAACAGATTCAAATAAAAATTCTTTTAATGCTGAATGCATCACTACTGTTGACCTCAAGAATTATAGTAGGGGAATCCGGAAAGTTTAAAAGCGATCACATAAATGCCTAATTTGAGATAATGCATACAAATTCCATCGATTTGTGAGATGTAATATGATCGCCGACACCTCAGGGCAACGCGACTTCATTAATTGATGTACAACCGCCACATTCAAACTGAATACAATTTAGATTCGAAGTCACCTGAACTAAATTTATAGCACTGCATTCACCGCATCTGATTTGAACCGATCGTACTTCCTGCGTAGACTGTTCACTGATTGGTGAACTTGGTTCAACAAGTTGTTGATAGCAAGCTCCACATAGAAGTGCATCTGCCTTCCTTGATGGTATAATATTTTTTAAATGGCAGGCGGGGCATTCCCTTACCTGGGGATGCTCCTCTTCCTTCGTGCAAGAACTTGGAACATTAAGCTGGGTATAGCATTGTATACATTTATAACACTTTCCTGAAACGGGATTCAGAATTTCATTATTAAATGTACATTCAGGGCATGGTACTGTCAAAACATTGTTAACAGAGGATTTTCGTAGTGGTTCGCTCCTCGGCACTGTATCCTCGCTTCGCACGTTTTGCATAGCATCCGCTTCGTTCAGCTTATCGAATTCTTCTTGAAGGTGACGTGCGAGTATAGCATCACTTTCCTCCTGCTGAATCCTTGATTCGTCCTTTTGGCTTTCCATTTTTCACCTGAAACGATATAAACCTTGACTATAAAATTAAATATATAATATCCAAAAAAATGGAAGCGTTCTTAAAATACATACCACAGATGGAGACGTTTTAGAACTTTCGATCCAGCTTGTATAATGGATAAGAGTGCCAGCCCATCAGTATATGAATATATCAAATTCCCTACTCAAACCACCTAGAAGCAACAAAAGGCTCTGCCTTAAAACACCATTATGCGGGGGCTTAAAGACTAAGACAGACATGCATGCCACACAGCGCATCCATGCGCAGAGGCTTGACTAGTACTTAAGCGTGACGGCACGGGCGCATATCACAACAATATCCTGAAGTTCGACTTCCCATTTGTGAAAGACATCAGAATTTTATTCAATTATACAGAGGCAAACCATCCCCCGGCATGTTTCATAGGCTAAGTGCGGAAGGGCACATCCACACTCATAAGGCCCCTTCTACCCCGAGCTTTGCCATGACGATAAGGGGGGGGATCTAAATCACGTCTGTTGGGCGTTTCAAGTGAGCCCCCCCCCCCGCACACACACCTTCAAGTGATGCCCCCAATGCCCTACACGATCTTGTTGCGTTATTTGTCTTCTCTTGCGATGTGACAATTCGTAGCAAAACTTTGGGCCCATGGTCCCTGGGTACTGCTTGCTCGGCGGGCGGCACCCTTTCATGTCCCCATGAAAAGGTGTAAAAAAAAAATCTAGACGTACCAGGGAATATTAAATAAACTGTTTACAGGCAAAGAGATATTGTTGCGAGGCGTTGGTATGATACTAGCCGTTAGGAATATCTACAAATGTGTTTGCATAGCGGATCATGAAGTTAACGCATATACCCTCTTTAGAAAGGTGTAATTCTTAAGCATTCTTGAGTTGGAGGTGGAGGGAGATCAAAATGTGTGAAGTTGAAGTAGATTTATGAACCGATACCACGATAATTTAAAATCTAATAACGCTGCTAGAGATTTAAAACGTTGTGTTGAGTTTTTTATCCCGCATAAAGGTTTGTTTGTGTCGCTACCCGATTATTAGACATTAGAATTCAAATGTCGCTTTGAATGGGCGACAGAAATACAACTAGATGATATTGTCTTGACTTACAAGTTTCCTCGATGGTCTTCGACTCCACGTGATGTCGCAAGAATTCTAACGTCTCTAATCCCTATTTGAAGCCTTTTTTTTTTGCGTCTGTGTTTATAAATGCATAAATATCGTGTGCAGCTCGGCTACATGATGCTTTGAATATTTAACCATACTAAGCTTCTTTTTAATTTGCTTTAAATTATAATAAGCATAATGAAAGTCCAAAATTCATTTGAAGAAGCGATTCGCTTAATAGAAAATGAGTCTCCACAAAATGAGGAAAAACCTTCAGCCAAAAATAAGTTTCGTCTCAGACCTAGTGAAGAATTAGCACTTCTAATTGCAGATTACCTCAATCCTCCACCACCTCGTGGCACCAAAATTAACCTATCTAGATCGTTTTTGGGCTCAGAAAGATGTACATTTTTGGGGAGAAAGCTTAATCTGAGCAGAACTGTAACCTTTCTTGATATTTCGATGTGCGACATACAAGAAGATGCAGCCGAGAGATTCTTCTCTTTAATCAAACATAACGCTGTTCTTCGCCACGTGAATATTAATTGCAATGCCATTGGTGATAAGGGAGCCGTTGCTGCTGCCGAATGTTTTGCTCATCTTGAAACCCTTCACGCATCTTCGAACGGTATCACAGACTGTGGGGCTTCTCAAATCGCTGAAGCACTTGTGTCCTCCACCACTATGAAGACTCTGAATCTCCGGTGCAATAAAATTACCAAGGTAGGAATGACCAAACTGATGCAAGCATTAGATCCATCCTATATGATAGACACCGAAAATACTTTGACACAAAATAATCAGGATGAAGCTTCTCAATCGGATGTTAGCCAATCGAAGCCCGTAGCACAGGATAGCAATCTTGCAAATTCTTCTATTTACACACTTTGGATAGACGGAAATGAAGGCGCAACCACTGATTTGGTTCGCTCTTTGGCTATTTTACTTTCCTGTCGTTTTCCGCAACCTCCATCTTTCTTGAAAAATATCAAGAAATCAAAAGGTAAGAAAAAAATGTAATAGTGAAAATATTCTTTTTATTTGAAGATGGGGGTCGATGTTTCTTCTCTATCCTAGGTATATTTATTTCTTTTTATGTATCTAACCACTTTTTTATTTTTTTTCTGAAGTACACTAATATTGAACCTTACCTTTCATAGCTTTTGTTTTGTAGATATATAATATGCGTATAGCAGTCTTCATTACTATCATCATACAATTCAATTCATTTGCTACTTTTCCCCTTCTTCAATAATGTTTTAGTTGATGCTACTTTTTAAAAAATAGTATTTCTTTTTTTGTGATGTTTCACCGAAAGTATATTATAAAAGAAACCCATCCATTAGGTAAAAGAGAAACAAAGAAATTCAAGGAAGATGTTGCCGCTATTTTAGGTCCAAAGTTTTCAAGTATTTGTGAGTCTTTGTTTTCGAAGAAGAATCCAATTTTAAAGCAGGTATGGAAAATTGCCGAAGCTTCTGCCGTTTTGTACCTTGTAGATCAAGTGCCTCTGTTCGTCACAGTTGAAGAATTTCCTCATGACATGGATGTAGCTCTTTTTCGCTTTCCAAATAGGAATATTATGTTGCCAACCATATTCCTGTTGCTACTTGCAAGACTGATATTTCATGAAACATCACAGAATATGATAGACTTTTCACAAAGTGTTGGCTTTTCAGTTTCATGTCATAGTCCAACATCCCGGCATATTCTCTCCGGTGCTCATCTTATGATGCCAGGTATTGTTTCATGTACTAAGGGTGGTTCATCGGAAAATGTTGAAGGTTCAATAACGTTAATCTATGCTCTTCAAAATGATACCCCATTTGCAGTTGGCCTTGCAACACACTACCTCGCTGCAAAGAGCAGCTCTGGTATAGGAATATATGTTATAAGTTGCTTCAACGATTTAATGTGGAAACATTTTTATTCATCTTTTCATATGAAGAGTCTTGCATTTTCTATTGGCCTAAACTCTGTACCGAGAGAATTTACCGAGAAGCAGATTTTTCCTGTAATAAGCGATGCAGGGAATGATCTATTGTTGGATGACTTAGAGAAACAAGTGGACGACACCAGTGATGAACCACTTCCCGATAATATTCAAGATTCGGACTTTTCCTCTATCCTTGAAGAATGCCATCAACTCTTCCCAGATGAAGAATCAATCCTAGAATTTTCGTTTTGTGAAGCTGTAAAGTCAATTAAACCGTCTATGCTGCCACTTCCCCTATCTGAGTTCACCGCAATCTTTGTCAAATCTTATCCGTTAATTTCATCTGATTCGAAAGAAATTGACTTTCGTAAAACACACGTTAAAAAAGCGCTTTCCTACTTCAAAAGATTTCCTGACGTCATCGAAATTACGGAGATATCTGAAGGAAATTATGTAATTGTGAATAGAAACAGAGATGCACCACTTCTTCGAGACCACAATAGTAAATTCTCCATCTTCCTCAAGGAGATTCATGAACCCAGGAAGGCACAATTGTCTCAGAAGAATCAAATGGACAAACTGAGGGATTTTTCTACAGTCGTACTGCCGAAAATAATATCAGTTTCGGAGCTCTACTTTGTCGGTAAAGATCTAGAGCAGGATTTTTTTACCTCTTTTTTTGTAGACTCTGGCGCTTTCCAAGCAATAACACAGAGTTCAGAATTACCAAAAGAAAGAATTACGAACCTTGACAATGTAGATAAACCTTCTGTTGATCCTAGCATTTTCAATGACGGATTAACTGCAAAGGAAATTATGAACGCAGTTAATAATTATATTAAACTTAATAAATTGACAGTATCCTTGAGCCAAGATAGTAAAATTCCATTTGTTAAACTAGATGCAAAGCTTTCTCAGTTTGCATGTTCAAACTCTTCTGAAATGTTGATAACTACTTTAAGGGATCGCATCCTTAGGAGGTTTACATTAAAGCATAAAATCGTCTGGAAACCTGCTGTACAAAATGACTCCATGGATGTCGATGATATTCATTCCCGTTGTATTTTAGCCAATGGATCCCCCCCAATTGTCAAGATATGGACAAAGATGGAGCGTGGCAATAAAATTATCACTATTGTGGAAAATTTAGACCACTATTGTTTGGACTTTCATACCATCTCTGCATTTTTCCGCAAGCAACTAGCCACAAGCTGTTTTGAATACAGCCAAAATGGTAAGCTTGAAACTTTAAAGGGAGGGAAAAAGAACAAGTTACTAACTGCCCTTAAGGGGGACCTAAAGGATAAGGTAAGAAAATTGATTCTGAATGAATTTGGGATTCCTTCCCAATATGTTAACTAATTCGTTTGAAATAGTAGTGGCTGGTTGCATGGTTTGTATTTTATTTTAGAGTACTTACCAATAGCTATTGTTAAAACTGATTGGTCGAAATGTTTATTTTATCACGACCAAAAAAATTCTTAATGTTTGATATTAATGGCCCACTATATGTGTTGAATCTATGAATTGCTCCTTTTTTTTCTGAGGGGTGAAGTATCTTTTTATTTTTATTTTTGAGTCTTGTTTGACATTATAAACAGAAAATACACCATTAAGAGACGATGAAAGCATTACTTGCCACACTTGTTGGCTTCGGAACCTCTAGCTGGTTCAATAGCGTATCGTATAGCACAGACTGTACAGCATCCTCCATTCGCCTTTCACAAAGTAAGTACCACCCCTGTACCTTGATTAATGCATATAATGAGTCACACGATGCAAAAGTTCTTCGTTTTGCTCTTCCAGAGTCAGACATGTCTTTGAATATGGATGTGGTTTCGTATCTATTGCTTCAATTTGTAGATAATGATAACCATGAAGTGGTTCAGCCGTACACACCCATTTCTCGAACAGATCAACTTGGTTACTTTGAGATATTGGTTAAAAAGTCAGAGGAATCTCCTATGGGTGGCCACCTATTCTCGCTGAAGAAGGATGATACTATTAATGTGAAAGGTCCCTATGTAACTATGCTAATCAGGCCAAATCAGTACAAATCTATAGGTATGATTGCAAACGAAACTGGGATTGCACCCATGTACCATGTTGCCCGCAACCTTCTTCGAGTGCCCAAGAACACTACTGAAATGTCTCTTATTTACGCAAACGCATGCAAGGAAAATGTTCTTTTGGGAAATGAGATCAATGAGTTAATGGAAGCTTATCCTAGTTTTTCACCGTACTTCGTCCTTAAGGACGCTCCTTTATCTTGGATGGGAGGTCTCGGCGATGTGAGTAAGGAAATGATCAAAGCTATTATGCCTTCACCAAATCGTGCAGAGGACTCCATTATTCTAGTAAGTGGGTCTCGATCATTTATGAAGGAGGTCTGTGGGGAAAAAAAGTGTAATCAGGAGCAATCGGAACAGGGCGAACTTCGGGGACGTCTCAGAGAGCTAGGATATCCTCCTAAGATGGTCTTCAAATTATGAAAAGAGGAAAGTACGGCAATAACTACGTTTTCGATATACATATATATTCTTTTTGTCTTTCCTTCTCCTCACCTTATGATATGGTATCATGAAGCATATGGTTGCGGCAAGATCCCATCTTTTTGTTTACTCTTATTGGCTTAATAACTGAAAGGGCGTCAATCGCTGTAGGTCACCTAGTAGATGTTCGAAAATTACGATTTCCTTATATTATCTAGATTATGATTTAATTGTTAATTTGTCGTTGATTAGATTGAACAGAATATTAGGACAATTAAAATTCTGTGCAACGATTACCAGAAAAATTGCGAACACGTTTTCATGTTATATCGAAAAAAAGTGTTTCCAATGCGAGTTATATATATATATATATAACTATGGAGCGTAGTCTTTTTTGTGAATGTAGTCATCATTTTTTTTACCTTATGTCAGTGCTTTGTGGCATAATCTCTCGCAGCTAAACCAAACACCAACATCCATTTCGCTATCCCCCAGAAGCACTAATAGATGTTGGTATGCACACAGCCTCAAACCTGATTTGAATGAAGATACCCAAGGTATCAAATGATATAAGCTTATGCTGTCTTATTTATCCGTTACATTTAACTTACAGAACATATTATGCACTTCACTATGAAACACATCCGAGGACCAGAAGGTGTGCTAACTCTCATCCTATCGGACTTACGTAGTGGTAATGGTGGTTTGAGTTTATAGTATAGTATTATCTGATCTATAACATTGAGCATACTGCTTGATGCGTGGAAATCAGAAAGATTACAAACTTCAAAAGACACTTAGCACAGTTTACTAGTTATGATCGCCTAACATTAACATGTAGTGTGCTGTTTGGTCGACAATTTTACCACAGATTTCTCCCTTTTGTTATGCTAATTGAGGTACTAAAAGCGAGAATTAAAAATGCGTGAACAAAACGAATGAAAAAATCTTAATGGCCCTGAAAGCTTTTTGAAGTATAAACAAAACCGGTTATGAGTCGATAAACGAACTCCTTTTTCATTATCTCCAAATTGCAACCGTGACATTGGCACTTTCAACTTTTTTTTCCCACAACCGTAGATAACAGCTTGAATTGTTGTATTCATCGAGCTATCTAAATTCTATGATTCAGTTAGGCTCAAAATAAAGAAAATGTATCGGCATGTAGCAACACTTTTTGTTTCTAAACCCATATCACAGGGATACGTGGCAAGTCTTCCCGCTCCACCAGGTCCTTCAACTGGGCGCCAATGGATGCGAGCCATGGATGCTAACGCTGACGTCCGTGAGCTTTATACCGCTGACGCAGAGCGATACGAGGCATGGTACAAGGAAACGTACCAGTTGGAGGATCTTAGCAACGGGTGTGCAGCCTCTGGAGCGAGCTCGAATAAGCTTCTGGATGATTCCAAGAACATACAATGCGCAGCCGAGAAGTATGATTTAGAGGGTATACAAGAGGAACTCCAGTATTGGTCAAATGAATTTATGCATCTGAACCAAGTGAAAAGGTAGGCATCTGCTTCAACGCCTATTTTTCTCAGTGCATTCCTTTCTTATCTCTCTTATTTTTAGAAAGAGCTATTATAATTCGCATATTCTTCCATAATGGCATCATTTTCAGTTTATTAATGCTCATGCTGTTTGCCCCCTTCCAATGGATACACTGGAATTTTTTTTCTTTTTATCGAGATATGCTTAGTAATACTTATTTTTCATACTTGATTAGATTGCTTACATTTTGGTTCATTTTCTTTGGCTACCTTTTCATCAACATAGACTATTGTACGCATAGAAGAGAAAACGATGAGATCGGTTCACTGAAAGCAGTCCCATCTTGTCGAAGGGTAGAATCACAATTACTATGTTTCTGTCGGTCACAGATTAGACATTCAAAAAGGTTTTTTACTCTTTTTTTTCGCCTAACGAGTGACTAAGAAGAGGGAAAGTCGTATACAGAGGAAGGGCGCTTTCCAATATTGAGGCTATCTTGGTGTTGTTGTTTTGATCGGAAAAATTCTTCCCACTTAGCCATGATTACTTTAGTATGGAAAAGTCGGCCATAAAACAAAAAGGACTAGAGATTTTGCAACCCACCTATTGGCCAAGTCTACAATCTCCTTTTTGCGTCAAACTAATAGCAATGAGAAACGTCATTCTTTAAGGAGGTTGCTAGTTTAAAAAGGGCAAGCAGGTGCCTTATATTGATCTGATGCTTCCTGGTTATGATCATGCATTGGCACTCTTTGTGTTTAGTGTTGTTGAACCTTTTCAATGGGAGTGTTTCATCGATTTAATTCGGATTTCTTCATCGAACTATATATTTAATTACATCAAACATATCATTTATTATTTATACTATCATTGATATCGAAAGAACCATTGCCATACGGGAATAATATACGTAGTGGAATGTAGAACGGCAAGGCGAAAAGGTAATTGGTAAGTTCATATCGATTTATTTATTTTTTTTTTGTTAAAACTTGGCTCTTGTATGAATCGATTTATGTGTCAAGTTGTAAGTCGTCATTTATGTTTTTGCATTTTATTGCTAGCATTTATACTAAGCACGAAGTGAAGTGTTTGACGTGTTTTAGCCCCATAAAGCGCGTAAAAGGGATGAATACGACGGTTTATGATTCGTAGTGATTCTGGGCTGTCTTTATTCCAATCAATTTTGGGGCACGAAATTGGGTTCCTGTGCCGATACGATGGTTTTTCCAGTTTTTCTACTTTATCACTCTCCACTCGACGGAAGGGGAGGGGTGAGAGGATCTTACCGCATTATTCATTCCTCGTAAGTAAGAGTCTTCTAAAATATTGAATCTATGGAAAAACGAACTCACGAACGAAATCTTGAACAAATCAATACCATATATATATATATATATATATATATATGAATTCTCGTATTGTGCCTTTGCTTAGAGGTACTTTCAATTTTAAGGAGAACACGGAAAAGGATTTGCTACCTTTTTGTGCACGTTTCCTCCTGCGCTGGGAATTCTATTTATTACCCGTTCTTTTTGTCTAATGATAAAAGGAAATGCGAATTAATTTACAGAGGATAATTGCTCTCATCGTATTCATTTGTGTCTGTAACCTTAGATTTTCTTTTTCTAGCCTTTGAATTTTTGGTCTTCATCCCCTGCTGTCAACTCTGTGCTAATGAACAAAAACATACTGTACGGTGTTTTGGGCGTAGTTTCATCTTTTGACCTTTTATGTGTTGATGTGTCTTGCGTATTCCCGTTCCTATCCATTTTGTGCACTTTAATCTTTATCACTTTTAAAAAGGCTCAGTTCATAGGATTTACCTTGTTGCGTGACTCGTTTTTAAGCAAGCCCTCTTTATAACTTTACGTCGGAAAACCTTCAAATGTCACGTGGCCGTATTCATGGTTCTTCAAATGAAAATAACAACATTGTCTATGATCGAGGTCAGCCTTGTATGGTAGTGATCGATCCCGCTACATGCATGCTTCGCATTCCCCTAATTTATATCCATAAAACCCGTGCTCAGAATCGAAGTGGATCTCCCTCACTTTGTCAGCTTTTCTTGAACAACCGCTGCCGTCAAGGATCGAATTGCTTTCAAGTCCACGCAGATTTGAGTGTCGTGATGAGCTTGCGAAATGAAGTGGACAGCCTACCGTACTGCTGTATGGCTCATGGTGACGCCGACCGTCTTGGCATATATCGCCCCGACTCCCATGAGACACCTTGTTCACCTTCGAATGGTGCAGAAGATAAACAGATGGGTGATACTTCAGGTGAGAGTTCTGGAGAAACACATCCGTCCCTTTCTCCACAATATGCGATGAAAGATGTGGTATTATACATTCCAGGATGTACTATGGGTCCCTGCTACCCTCAAGGATATGATAGTGACGACAAAGGTCCCTACATTCCAATCTCCCGTTGCAGTTACACGCTAGCTCTGCGCCGTTTATTGACAGACCGCGACCTTCAGAACGCCCCCCTGTTTTGGACAGGGAAAAATGGTGACAAAATGAATCTGGTTTTGGATGCCAGCAATGTGATTCTTTGCCGCATGCACATAATAGATCGGTGTCTTTACGCTGAAGAATGCAAATTCCTACATTTGTGCAAAGAAATTGCGCTTTTAAATCCTGATTTGATTCATTCCATGGGACTACAGATGGAACAAAGACAACTTACTAGGTCACCACGCCACGCCTGCTCCATGCTCTACCAATATCATCCCAGCATGGCGTCACCATCATTCCATGCTGGCGAGACATGCTGCTGCCCCATGAACCCGCGCATGTGGCAGAGCCCCGGCGATCACTCGTACTCGTCTTTTCTCACCGACAGCACATCGCGGTATAAGGAGCAGCCGCCCGCGATTCCACCATATATGTGGAACCCAAACATAGGTCCCTGCAATATTGAAGGCCACCCACAGGACTCAGGTCCAGATCCAACCACTCCTTCCTGTATTCCTCTATCAAAGCCAATCAACACTCGGAGGCTGTTAATCCCAGGGGGCATGTGCTCAGAACCTAACAGTGATGACACATCCACTTTGCCCAGGATTCCTTCACTTCAAAGCGCCGCGCAACATCCTTGCCAACACATCCATGGGGCTTCCCAACCCCACTCGATTGACAGCTGCCCGGACACCAACGCCGCTTCATCGTTTTCCACGCTTATGAACGACAAGGCTGTCATGTCGATAAGCGACCCAGCGCACGGTACGAACTTAAGCACTTCGAACTCCTCAAAGCTGAGCAACCAAAATGCGAATAAAAACGAGTCCTACACTTCACTGATCAACTCATCTCGTACTGTAACCTCTGACAGTCCGAAACCCCCATTACCGAATGACCAACACACTCTATTGAAGCACACTAAGTACCTCAGCAAATCGTGCCCAGCGCATAATCGAATCAATTTCCTAGCCATGGATCCTGCTGAATCAACAACGATAGCTGGTGCTGATGTTGTGCGAAGGTTTAATTTTCGGGTGTATTCAAAAGACCAGAACTTAACATTCTTCGAGAAATCCACTACACAGCAGAAGAGCACACCTTGTTGGCAGCACAACCCCTACTCTGGAGTGACGTTGGGTGGGATCAATTTGTTCTGCAACGATAATACCGTAATGAGTGCGAATGTTTAGAAAAACGTATCATATTTCCATTATGTGGATTTTTTTATTAATTTTCATTTTTTCACTGACACTTGCAAGTGAATTAATCAATGTTATGGGTTTTAAAGTAACGATATTTTTTCCCAGATGAATATCATCTATTTCTTCTTGTCGCTACTTTGATTATTTACAATTCTTTTGAAAGTTCGCTCTCTTTTTCTGTCAATGAGTTTTTTCGTGGATGAGCAAGTTAAACATAACTCATTGCATATGAATTATGCTTCTGAAGAAGAAGCGTTTTGCTTTCAATGATTCCGAAAAACGCGAGCACATTGGGTTCGGATTGAATATGAAAGTTAACTTTGCATGCATAAAACGAATACCTCATTTTACAATTAATATTGAGCCTGGGGGTTTTATTCTTTTTATCTTCCCTTGCATGGTGAATTGATTTGGGCGCCTATCATTACAGTTTTGAATGCGGCATTTTCTAAATTTCGTTGATAATTTAGCTTTTGTCGTGTGTATTTTAACGTTTTTTTACTGGATTTATTTATGGAAAACGCTCTCAGGTACTTTAAAACCGCTCTAATTAATGAATATATACACTATGACTATAAATTTGCATATTATTAATCTAATGTTTTTGCGAATGAGAAAAGGTCAAAGTCGTATGAATGATAATTGAGGGGGAATTTACGCCAAGACTTGTGCGGTTGAAATAGTAGATATCACGACACTCAAGGAGGTTTAGTCATTTTCTGCTATTGCTTCTCATTACTCCCATGACTTTTTACTAAGCTTATCTTGCTGTTTTCGATTATTAGCTTTACCCTGACCTCAAATCTCCTTCAAAAAATAATTTATTCATTTTGAATACATACTTTATCGAAAAAAAAATTGATTGAGAATATATACACACTAGAGACATATGAACCTTGTTTTGCGCCAATCTATTGCTTTTAACGCGAAATATAACAAACATTATGTAGGGTCAAAAGTCTAAGCCTCACAAAGTGAAGTTCAGTCTTCTTCATGAAGACAACACTTTAGTGCGTTCTGACTAACAATAACATGTGAGCCTAAAGAGTAAAATAAAAGGAAACTAATCCTAAGAGACGTTTAGCTGTAGCATTAGCAATTCATTTGTATCAAATATCCTCTCTATAATATTCATGCTACTAAGAGAAGACTCATAGCTTTCTTTTCTCATTCTGCTGGAAAACTATTAGCCTTGTTTTTTTCCTGATCAACGCAATATTAATATAGGAAACAGTGTATTAATGTTTTATTTATGGTTTAAGAATGCTCTATTTTTATCTTCCCCCTCTCCCCCACCTCTTTTTCAAGTGAATTATCTTCAATTTGAACATAAAAAACGAAAGGCATGCATAAATAAAAGGTACATCGCGTTGCTTGATTCTACAGCAGTTGGTTCAAGTTTTAAAAAAACGTTTGATCAGTTTTTGATTTGCGGTGATATATATATAAATTATGCTTGTATCTTTTGAAAATAAAGCAACAATGTCTAGAAAATTTTATATAAAATCTTTTATCTTCTTAGTTGATATTATTCTATACAATTGCTTTTATTTTTGATGGCTATTACTGTTACAACATAGGTGATAACTGAAGTGTATTTAAGTGCCTAATAACATCTACTTCGTATTTTTTCTTAAACTCTCTTCATGTTTTATTAACCTTATCATAACGAAAAAATATACCACCCTCAGGTCACAACTTCCTGCTCCTTTTCATTGCCACCCTTTTTTGCGAAGATGAAAAGATTAATGAAGTATACACTTCGGAAAGAGAATAGCCTTTATATATTATGATTATTACTTTATTAGCATATACTTACTTGATTACTATAAATAGATATGCCCCAAATGTTATTCTGACATTCCAGAAACAATTTTTTCCAGTGCCCTAGTGTCAGAGTAAATCATAACTAGAACGAAATTAATCACCCTTCTTCGTTTTATCTTTCCTATTATTAGGTGAAAAATGATAATTAACATGTATCAACACGAATAAAATGGAAAAAAAAAAAAGAAAGGGTGAGCAAGTTTGTTAAGTAACTGTTGATACTAATGATACTCTTTATTACTAGTCTTTTATCTATGAATTCCGATGCATCTACTTTTAGTAATATTAGCTCTCTACTCTGTGTTGTATAGAAACTGGTTATCACTTGATGGGAACGAAAATAATTTTATTTCATCATGTTGATAAATTGTAGAAAAATAGCAAGGTAACTTTGTATTATGCTTTCTATAGAATGCGACCGCTTACCTTTCAATATCGGGCTTTCTGTTTATTCTTTTTCATTAATACTATTTAGTCAACTTCTGGACTCCCCTCGTATAAATATGCAGTGCCAAATATTCACTGGAAAATCTTCCCAAACGGTACTGCCACGTTCACTCTGATAAAAAATTACTACTTGCTCTCCTCTTCTCTACATCTCGTGCAGATTTTTTATTTTTCTACAATATTTTCGAACAATATATTTAACTTTCGACAGTCTTCAGCATTTGAAAATACAAAGGCAGCGAAGCAAGAAATAAAAGATCCATTCACAATACAAGCGAAGGACGGATCTCAGGATCTATTCAGGTATTTTATTGACTCCTTTCACTGCAGTGCTAAAGACGCCAAACACTACGAAAAATGGACGTAGTAAATCAACCAGATGACCACAAACTACACGAGACGCCGCACACTGATGATATAAAAGTTGAGCACGAATATGGAAGTCGTAACGCTGAACCTGAGGCTGTTAACACTCCGCACGAACATTCTGACCATAAAAATATCGATTCCAAGCATTCTGAAAGCAATGCTTATGGAATCCAGCGTGGTAGAAGTGACAGCGCCAAATGGGATGATGATGACCAATATCATGACGCACATTCGAATGGTGCTTCCGTACACGCAACCGCTGACAATGACGGTGTGGACTTCGTATTATTACCTAAGCAGGATGACGCTGATGTGGATTCAGAACATGAAGAGAATCCTAACGCGAGTGAACTCGACATGCAGCGGGAGCCGGAAAAACCGGAGGAAGATAATCTTGAGGAGCGCCTGCAGTTGTATAGCGAAGTGCTAAGCCTACGGAAGGAGCTTGACGTTGTGAAAGAAGACGAACAACGCCTGCGGCAACAGCTTCAAAATACACAAATGCTCATCAATGAATATGATCCCCAGATTGAGAAGATGATTGTTGTGCTTGAAAATGAGGCGCAGCAGTCATTGTTACGTAAACTTTGGGAAGAACAATGCCAGAAAACAAATCCAGATGAGATGGACTGGTCCAACATCAATATCGCTAACCTAAGTCAGCGTGTTCAGGAGGCCCGAAAAATCTCCATGATGACTACGGAAAAGGTGGATATGCTCTACGCTAATAGGGATGAAAAGCTAAACATTCATACCGATAACCGTGAGCAGAGCAAAGCAAAGCTCAAGGAGCGCTTTGAAGAGGAAATGGAGGGATTACAAGACCTCCGAAGCCGGTTAAAACAGATAAAGGACGAGCACATGTTCCACCAACGCCGTGGTACAGCCCGGGCTGAAGATCGCAACATCCTCTCCAATGAAACGAAGAAGCTCAACCGGCAGCATCGTGTTGCTGAAGTTGAGAACCGTACGTCCGCGAAGGTCGGGGCCTTGAGTGACACTCTAACGGATCTCATGGAAGAATGCAAAGTGTTAAAAAAGCAGCTGGATAAGTCCCAGAGTCTGTCTGATGAGAGGAAAAATGCATTGGAAGACGCTCTGAAGAAAGTGCAGGAGGAAGGCTCTGAGGCTCGTGATATGCGGCAGATGCTGGAAGCGGAACAAGAGGAACTATCGGCGCTAAAGGCTGATTTGCAGGGTGTGCTGCATTACGTGCGCGCCGCAAGGCGGGAGGAGGAAATATTCTAGAATGGAAGACCTTCTGGGTATATTAGAAACAGAATTGATTCAAAAGCAAGCGCGCAGATCATTCTTATTAATATGCTTTTGCCGTGTGGTGTTCATCGATACAAGAAGAAAAAACTTCAAACTGTGAAAAATCAACCCATGAAGAGTGTAAAGAAGAAGCTATGGTGAAATGAAATTTTTGGGAAAAGTAAACGTCATGGATTCGTAAAACTAAGGGTTAGTGAAACGGCACGACAATATTTTCGCTGATGCCACCATAAATCAGGACAAAGTGGATTCGTGAATAAAAATAGAGGTTCGTTTTAGCTGATGCTGCACAACAAGAAAAGCTCTATTAAGCATAAGGTATAAAAAACCTCACCTGAAGCCCTTTCTTATCGTCAATGCCTCATGTTTTTATGCGTGTTCTATTTGCTTGTATAAGTCAGTGTTATTGTGTTCTCTTTTAAGTATGTCTAGAAGTTCTTTCCTTTACGAGAGTGCCCGCTTTGACGTGTAATTCTCTTCTGGTCACACGAAAAAGTTATTTATTCAAGATTACGAGAAATTGCAAAAGAAATTATGTAAATTGCTTTTGGTCGTTGTAGGCTACAAAGGGGGGAAAAACTTATATATTTGTTTATATTTATATATATATATATATATACACATTTTCAGAATTAAAAGGTGTACTTCTATGTTCGCTTATTTTAGGGTAGGGGCCAACTACTTTTTTTTATTTTACTGAATTTAGGAAAGGGGGTAATGATGAACGCATGGTGTAGTAACGCTATATTGTTCTGATGATCCCAATGGTTATTATTCTGATGCCAATGAGAGGAACTTTGTCTCCTTCCAAAAACGAGTTCTGTATCTTCTCCCTCTCACTTGTATCTAAGTTTGGTAGGTGAATTCCAGCTTTTTTGCAGTAAATAGTACCAAGATACCTCGTAGAGCAATAAAATACATGAGAAGTATTGTGGCTAACACTCCACACACACTTTGGAGCAATGTGATTTCTCGAGAATCTCACCACGCGCGTCATGTGATGGTCTACCTTACAGGACACTTTCAGCTCCGTAGTTTCCAACAAAACCGAACCATTCCCGTGGTAGGAGACGAAGTTACGTTGAAATCAGTGTTTCGACAAGTCGAGCACATTTCCAGCCGTTCTAAGCAGGTCTCAGCACAGGGGGACATGCGTCGGGACTCAAACGACCTGGAGCAAAACATGCTAGTCTCAACTGCCCTTTCTCCACAGCGAAAGGAAATCAAACCGTCGGCTTCTGGAAAAGTCGCAGTAGCGGATCAATCTTTGCCGCCCGCCGCCTCTCTTGTTGAAAAGGAATGTATACTGAATTCTTCGCCTTCACTAAGTACAGTCCTTGGCGCCAAGTCGATTAAACGCAATGGCATTAGATACGATAATGCAGGAAACACTGCGCCCGATGAAAGATCAGATTACGAGTGTTTAAACAGTAAGCACGAACGGCATCTAGTTTTTCAAAACAGTAATGATCTTCAGATGGTTGATAAAAACAATGAAGTGAAAGGACGAGCACAAAGCAGCTTTTCAGAGACTTCCACCATAAAAGTCGGTGCCCAACCCTTGAGTGAGGTAGTATGGATACCAAAGGGTGATAGGTCCCCTTCGGACTTCTCATTATATGGATCTCCGGAGACTTTTCTGGAGCCCTTGCGCAAACACGGAGTCTCGCATGATCATATGCGCGAGCGACGTAAGCGCAGTCAGCTTGCTTTACTAGAGCCGGACAAATGTAGCAATGCATCGCGAGGTGCTGGCTGTTCAGATCTCTTGCCTGCGCTGAACCTCTGTTCCAAGCCAGAAGAGGTGTTGTGTATCGAAGAGGACGATGTGGTGCTAGATACTCCGAAAACGCTCCTGTCAATGCTTGAGAGTCCAAGCAGCCCCAAAGCCTTTGGCGATGCACCGCAGACCCTTTTAGTTTCCGATGTCCTGCCGCATCAGGGGGACCAGATTCAAGAAATGGTATCGAAGCAGTATCATAGCCCCGCCGCGCGTGGTATAGGGCAGGATGTCATTGATCTCGTCACGGATGTGTTTACGGAGCAGCGTGATGCGCTGATCAAAAAACGCCGCCAGGTGCTCTATGCCATGACCCACCCATGCGCCTCAGACTATACCTATGGGAACAAGTTAGTGCCGCCGCCACCACTAAGCTTCGGTAAAGTCACAGACGAGGCGGTAAAACTCGGCAATGAGCTGTTGCTAGGCCAAAGGTACTTTTTAGTTAATCAGTCGGGAAGCAGGGCTGACATCACGGCACCGCTGAATTCTTTGTCTTCTTCGGCCGCTTCCGTATCGAGGATGGTTGAAATGGAGGCAGATGATCGAATTAGACAAAAAAAAGGCAGGTGTGGGCATGGTGCAGCTACTGCACGCCTACCGGCATATCGCGGCCGTGCACGTGAACAAAACATTTTTCGTGATCATCGTTACTTTTTCGAGATTAATGAGTTGTACCAGGAGATTGTTTTAGTAGGCAAGGCGTGTGCGGGCAAGTCAAGCCTTCTGAACGCGTTGCTAGGACAGTCCGTCGCAAAGACCAGCAGTTTGCCAAACACAACTCGACAAATTTCGTTTTACCAGAGCGTCACACCAGAGGCGCTGCAGGCGTTTCATGCAAATAATCACCATAATTTAGTCAAGTTACCTAACGGGGGTCTTCAACTTACCTTTGTGGACATACCAGGTTTTGGTATCGAAGGAATGAGCGATAAGTGGCGCGACGCCGCAATAGACCTGACGGATGCCTACTTTGGTGTGCGGCGCTCCGTCAACACGGTTCTATTTTGCATTGATTGCGATCGTGGTCTGACAAAGACCGACCTGAAATACTTTCAATGGCTTGAGAACGTACAGGGTGTATTTTTCCCCGTACTTACTAAGTGCGATTCTGTCCCACACTCTCGCATATGCTCTGTAATGCGACAAATATACACACTTATCACAGAGAAACGTAAGAAATATCGAAAGGTCTTTCCTTTTGTTATCCCGACGTCCTCCAAAGACGGTACAAACATCGACATGCTTAGGGGGCTTATTACTGAGTCTTCGGGGATGATTCCGGGTGATCGACTCCGCGAATTGCTAAAAGTGAAACAAAATGCATTAATGAAAGAGGCTCTTGCGCAGGAGTCAATGCGTCTTGATGAGGCTCACCAGATCAAGCGAGAGCAAGCCCGCGAGCAATTCAATCTAACCTATACAGGACGATTGCGTCATCCGACTCTGCCGCTAGCCCCTTCTTTATCTTCTCGGAGCAATGCAGAAAAATCCAATCGTGGCCCACTTGATCTAGAAATGGATCGCAATGGAAGTCGGATTTACCGTCTATCCATTCGGAAAAAAGACTCGATACCCGTGGCAGACCAGTTGAGTTTACCAAAGATTGGAGAGGGTGGTGCAACCATCCAAGGGCTCCAGGAGGACGAACATCGGCGCCGTGGCGAGAAGTTCTTGGCCTGGAGGCGCAAAAATCCAATCAAGCGTGAAGGCACCCCATACGGTGAGGTACGCTTTCGCTTACATACAGGAATCGACGGCCTTGATCCGGAATCCATTGACTTGACGTATAACAGTCCTAATAGTAGACACTTTGAAGCGCCAATGCTGAGTGTAAAAGGGGAAATGAAGAACACAGGGATGAAAGAACTACCAGATGCCCCTCTGGCAAACTCCACCCATGAAAACTCTTCTTTGACGGATTGCCTCTATTCTCCAACAACAGCCGCGGCTCCTCCAACAAGTCTTCTGGCACCTGAGCCATCCCGTGTGGTTGGATGGCCGCCAGCACCTGTAGCACCCTGTTCAGCAATTTCACCCCAATCGAGGGACACCCAGACAAATACTGCTATTTTGACACCAAACACAGTGCCTGCATCTCAAAAGAATTTGGGTGGGCCTGTCTCTCACTTCTTGGACATGATGGAGAAATTTTCCACGCAGAAGACGAATACTCCCGTTAAGTGTCCCTCTGCTAAGCTAAAAAAGCTGCGTAGGAAGGAGGAAAAATGGGTTAAACGACAAGCACAGGGCTACATGCCACCCTTAATGGTGCAAGATGAAAGCGGCCGCCTCTCTGAGTTCAAAGCCGGAAAGCGCTGTGGGCCGTCCCTCGTCAGTTTGAACACCAAGGTGGATTCTCGCCAAGCTGAGTGGCGTGGCAAGCAGCTTATAGACCTCCTTCACCAGCATGATTCCGAGTCTCCATGGAGCGCTGTGGGCAAAATCGCACAGTCCATTGAAGATGAAAAAGCGAGAGCTTTTATGAAAGGAATGCGGCCAAAGGATCTGGCTGCGTACTTGCGTGACGCGGGGTGTGTGACCAAATCATTTGAAAAGTTTGAAGGCGAGGTCACGTCCGCCAAATACATGAATGAGGTTCGACAGGCTAGAACGTTACGCTCGAGGGAGCAGATGCATCTAAATGCGACGGCGAAGATTAACTGGCGTTCCATGCCACCAGGTCTGTGGAAACAGTACGGTAAGGCAGACACCTACTGGGGCACATCGAGTGTACTGGGCCGAGAGAATGATGAAAGCCACACAGCGTCGTATTCGCCACAGCCTCGCTAGTCCCACAACAAGCATTGGCTGTTACAAAATTCACCATGATCAATCCTTTATGGAAAAAAGTGGATGTACATACTTCAAGAAGTATAGGCCACGTTGGTATATATAAATATATGTGCACATGTTATCTGGCGATGAATGTTTGGGAGATGCCAAGCACCATCAAGTGGGATGCATCTTTTCTCTAAAGTATTTATTTTTCCCTTTACTATCGTCCACACATTCAAAAGCTCCCCAACAAAAGGTTGCTAGAGAAGATTAAACTTCTACAATATTCAACATCACTTTGTCGAGATAGGTTTCCCCCCATCACCTACATCTATTGTATGGAAGCGTAAAGCGCAGTCACTTACCGTAAAATAGAAAAATTCGAAGGCCTAGGTAGTTCAAAATGGAGGTTTATAGACGCATCATGGAGCGTGTGCGCGGAGCGTTGTGGGCTCATCATCGTCGTTTAATGCCGGAGCGCCAATTTCATCGCATGTTAGCGTATGTTTACAACAACAAATACGAACATCAGATTCGATTTGATCGAATGGAAGTGGTAGGAAGGGAGTGGGGTGGACGCGTTGAGGTGGTAACGACACCCTCGGGGCACATGAAACGTGTTCGTGTTCATCCAAGTCTAGAGGAATTGACAGAATACTCTCGCAAGCAAGTTATTCTTTCTGCGTATGCAGATGCGTGTCGTCAAGGCAAAGAATTAATGAAGCAAGCTGAGTTGAACATTTACAAGCAGTTTTTAAGAGACTTAAAGCCTATTGTCCTAGGTATTCGAGACAACCCAGAGTTTTATACGGTTCCAGAAAACTCCATTGAGAGTGTTTATGCTACATTAAAAAAGCAGGAAGAGCAGCCTCGCTTAACATTTCGTACTATACCAGCTGCAAAGGCATATCAACCCACCGATGAGGTGCGCCGTCGTCACGAGTTGTTTCGGCAGTGGCTTAGAAGTCAACAAGGTTCCCGTTGGTCCCATACGTTACGCGGGAAGGAATATTTTGCGAAACACGGCCCACAATACCGTCCTCCCGGTGCTCCAGGGGCTAAGAAACAGGTCTTGCCGTTCGAGCTGATAGCCGCGTATACGCCCATGGATGAAGCACGCTTACTTAAGAAGAACTGGATGGCATACATGGACAACAAACACGTAGCGGAAAGCCTATGGACACGTACCAAGGTAGCAGATCGCGAGAAGCAGCTCCGTAAATTGCAGGAAACGGGGCAGGCTTGGCACCGCCCTATTAACGATGATGCTCTAAGTGGGTGGTAAAGTACTGGCGTGAAAAAGACAAGTAGGCACGTGATTTTTTCTTTTAGATTGCTGAGAGTCTTTCAGTGTCTAGACTATCGCTTTTTGCTTGATAATTCTCTACCTACAATCGAACCGTATGAAATCCACCAAGTAGCACAAAATGAGGACCTTAAGTCTGCTATGTACATTATATTTGTTTGTTGCGGTGGGAAGAGATTCTATTCGTACCAATTATGCCAACTCGGCTGTTCGAAACCGTATGGCATGGTTGGTTTAATTCTTACGTGGCTCAGTCGTCACCAGCTCCTCTGTGTGCCAAGGTCGGCTTTGCTCGAGCCCAACAAACATTTTATATTGTCTCTTATGTCTACAACTTTAAAAGAGAACGCTTTCCAGTAGACGCATATATGGATCCGTGAATAAAAACGAAATAAGCATAGGGCATAAATTTAACTATCATCTCTGTGCACGCGTTTATATTCGCATACTCATGTATTCACTTGATCTGCTTCCGAATCTCGACATTGAGTGCTCGATTAGTATTATTCCTTCACTTCAATAGAGAAGAATATATATATATATATATATATATATATATATATATATAGTGTGTGTGTGTGTGTGTGTGTGTGTAGTTAG